TCGAGGTGTGCGCAAGCTGGCCCGGACATCCTGAGTTATCAAATAAAAAATAAAATAATCAAACAACAACTCATAACTAAAAGAATGTCATAATAATACTAAAAAATAAATAAAAAAATAAAAAAGTAAACGTAATCGTTCTAAGATTTATTGAAAATTTTCACCAATTGAAGCATTTTCACCACCTAGCTTTACCGTGTTGCATGCGCATACACTTCATATCATACATATCTAAATCATTTGAGATAAGGAATCATATCTTTCACTTTATTCCTGATTTTTCTTTTCAACATATGCTCAAGAATTTAAGGTGATGAGTTCACACTAAAAACCTAGCACAGGCTCTAAAAAATAAATAAAAATAAATAAATAAATAAAACTAACCTCAAATATGTCAATTGGCCCATTCCATACCGAATCACATTCTTCCGGGAATAAAACTTAAAGTACGATTAAATATGCGTGATGTTATAATGTAATATGTTAAGAATTATGATTCAATCATATTATGTAATGATTTTGTAAGTTATTACTCCCTCCGTCCCAAAATAATGGTCCCTTTTGGGGAATCCAACTTTTTTTGGTAGTACAATTATTGTATTTGAAAAAGGTTGATTTTCCAAAATTATCCTTTTGATAGTACATTTTTTGGGAATATCAATGCATAATTGTACTTTTTATGTTGTTTAGTCAAAAAAGCCAAAAAGCCAAAAAGCCCTTCCCAAACCAAGCTTTTTAGCCCAGGCTAAAATAGCCAAAAAAGCTAAAAAGCCAAAAAGCCAACCCACTTTCCAAACGGAGGCTATGTAATGATTTTGTAAGTTATTATGTAAGTGGTAAAGAAATTATGACTCAACATGTTTAAATCACAATTTTAAGTACATCAGTGTACTGCTCAAAAAAGTATATTTTTTAGGGATGTGTACTACAAATTGATCAAAAATGAATTGCTTATTAATTTTAAAAATCTACTTTTATAGGTAATATACAAACATAATTTATATATAAAAAATTCAAGCTTAACTATTAATAGATTTTAATAGTTGGACTTAATTTTTATGAACTCTTATTGAAAATAAGTTATAATAAAATCGTTATTAAAAATAATTTTTTGTGACTGATTTTTTACATGTCGCTAAAAATAATTAGTGATTTTTTTTGTCACGATTTTTATAAATTGTCCCTAAAATTTATAATTAGTGATGTTTTTTTGTGATAAAATTTTCAAATTGTCATTGAAAATTGAAAATTAATAACTTTTTTTGGGATGATTTTTTTAAACTATCGTTAAAACTTATAATTAGTGATATTTTTTTGTAATAATTTTTAAACTGTCACTGAAAATTAACAATTAGTGATGTTTTTAATAGTATTTAATGAAAAATGTTATTAATTACCATAGAACCTATTGAATAGTAGGTCTGCCTATTAAGACTTGCACACAAGTTGCCAAAAATTTATGCATAATGATAAGTCTCACTTATAGCCATCCGTGGAGGACAAAATACTCATCACTTTAGTTCATAATTATAAAAATATCATTAGCACAACATTCTTATCTCAAATTCGGTATGAATTTGGGTTAGCTTAATTCCCTTTCAACATTTTCTTCCACAACACCAAATCAGATAAAGCAAAAAAGATGTGTGAATGCAGGTTCCAACAATGACCTAAACAGATTCACATAGGATTCTCTAAGAAGGGTGAAGGGAGATAGATACTCTTATATTGTGTTTGGTTGAGGGATTTGGGAAGGGATTTAGAAAAAGAAAGGGAAAAGGTGTGTAAAACTAGGTATAATGTAGGTATATTTTATTCACATTTCACCTAACTTTTTCCTTTTCCTTTTCAAATTCCTCCCCCAATCTTTCAATCAAACAGAGCGTTAGTGGGGGGTTATTCTTCCTCTAGAAAGTCGAGGGAAGAGTAGATGCACAAATATGGAATATGGATTTTGAAATGTTGAAGCTTTGTGTCCTTTCCTGAGATAGGAATCTTAAATTTTAAATTAAGGCTAAGATCTTGGCCCCAAGCAAAACATCATAATTTTTCTACTTTTAAACAAGAGTCAAAGTGTTAGGATTTAGACAAAGGCCTCATTTAAAAACAAATTATTTTAATAATTTTTTGATTTTTTATGAAAAAATATGTAAAAAAATAAAAAGAATGACAAATTATAATGACTTTTTGACTAAAATATATAATTGTCAAACGATACCTAATATGTTAGAAGACCTAAGTTTGATAGAACACTTCAACAGTTGTTAAAAGTGTCTAAAAGCTTGATCAATATGGCAAAAAACTCGAGGTTGATGAAATGAGAGAAACCAATTCCTATATTTCATCCCATACTAGAACAGTCTTAGAGTCCGTTTGTTTTGGGAGATAGAGGAGGGGATTGAATTAAGATAAATGTGGGACTCACTATAATGATGTTTATTTGTAAAATAGAAAAGGAGATTCATAGTCCCTTAAAATAATGATAGGCCTTGGAGAAGAGGATTAGCAAAGGCCTCTAGGCTATGTTTGTTTCACAGCTTGAGTGGCCGAATTGGACTACCAATTGTTGTGAGTTCCACTCACAACATGTTTAGTAGTGAAAAGGGCAGATTGATAGTCTAAGGGGTTTAGTAATCTCCCTCAGTAAAGAGATTAGCTTGCTGGATTTTGGATGATATTAGAAAAATTGTGAGAGAATTGAGTCCATTTTATATAAAAAATTAATTTTATTTTTTTTACCAAGTGCACCTGTTTGTTTTAATATTTGTTTAAATTTTTTTAATATAAGAATAATTTATTTATTTATTTTATATAAAAATAATTTAACAATCCTATTACTAATCATCTCTCATACTATCATCAAAATAAACATACTTTTACTTAATCCGCTCACTAACAATCCCCACATTAACAGTCTCTTCACTAACCATCTTCTCACTAACAATCCTATCCAATCTAATCCACCAAACAAACGTAACCCTAAGATCATGTTTGATTAGGGGTTGAGAGTTGCTACTGTGGCTTATGGCACAACAGTCCTGTTGTGAGGGCCTATAAAGGTATTTACTGAGTGTATTTTGATGATTTAAAACGTTGATATTGTACGGTTTGCCAAGTATATTATCCAAATAAAAAATCAAATTAATCAGACATCTGTAACCCTATGATTAAGTCTTAATTGTTTTTTTTGAAAATTATTAAAACCAAGGTAACCGTTTATTTTTTGAAAAACAAATGTGTTATTATTATAAGGCTATAAATGTCCAAATTACTCGATTTTTTGTATGGATGATCTATTCGACGAACCTTAAAATATGAACGGTTCAGATTACTGAAAAAAACTCGGGACACAGCCTTAATGGGCCTCACAGCAACCTGCTATGCCTTATGGCACAGTAGGAACTCCAATTCCGTTTGGTGGGGGTTCGGGTGGAGAGATTGGATTACCAATCCGTAGGACTCACCAAACCCATGCTTGGGTACAACAAAAGCCCTGTTTGGTACAGTTTAATTTCAGCTTATTTCAACTTTCAGCTTAATTTAGACTATTTTGATGTGTTTGGTTTAGCTTAACAATACAGCTTATAACTTTTTGTAAGTCAGAAATCAACTTATTCTTTGAGTAGGGCAAGAAAAACTTAATTTATAAGTCAGAAATCAGCTTATGTTCATAGTTATAAGCTATAAGCTGTTAAGGTATAAGCTATAAACACTTTCCCACAGCTCTATCAAACAGGGCTAAAATGCCATGGGATTAGCAATCCCATGGGAATATTAATCTCCTCTCATTGTGGGATTAGCATTCCCATGAGATGCCCTCCACTTTACAAAATAAACAAAATTATATTATATGTGAGGAGGATTTTTTGGTAAATTTATAGATTTAGTCCTAACTCACTAATACCACCATACTAGTATACAAACAAACACACTTTATCTTACATATCTAACATAATACCACCACACTAATAATCTTCTCACTTCATCATACTCATAATCGCATTCAATCTAATCCGCCAAACAAACGAGGAGAGTTAAGTTTCAAAACTAGTGAGGGAATTAACTTGAAAAAAAGACTATTTTGCCCCGTATGTGGGGAATTTTTGTGATTTGTTTTTTGGTGTAATGTCATTATATTATATATATATATATATTAAAATAATATAATATAAAATATAATTTTTTTAATATTAAAATATATCAAAAACAACAGATGATATTTATAGTATTTCATATAGTTAATCCCTTTACTAAAATATATCACAAACAAATACAATTTTTCTTAATCTCCTTACACACAATCTCCACACTTAATCTCCTTACTAACAGTCTCCACCCTAATAATTCTACCCAACCTAACTCTAAAAACAAACCGCCCCCTACTCAATTACAAACCATAACTTGGGGGCTACGTTTAACTGGGTGTTCAAAGTGCTAAGGTGTTTAAAGTGCTAGGTACTTGACTGATATGCCAGAGGACCTAGGTCTGATGGAAATGCTGCCAAGAATGGCACAAGAATGGTCTAGGGGCATGTTGGTGCCTAATGTCCTGAATAATATACTACATGTATTCTACACAAATCTACAAAATTTATTTTTATTTTATATTAAGCTTTAGGCAGTAATACAATGCTTCGCTTGCTTTTTCATTATAAATAAGAAAAATGTTTCATTTACACAATTTCTCCTCCACAAACCCCTCCGAATGATATGGCAAGAAAAAGACAAATTAATAACCGACACTCCTACACTCTTCTCTTCTCTCAAAACCTACAGCCAACTTTGCCACGTTATTTGGGAGGTTCGAGGAAAGATTTTGTGTAGATGTAGCACTGCTCACCAAGTACATATATACACACACACAATCAGTATGAGGGGAATAGGGTTGGAAGAGCAGTGTAATATAACAGTAAGACTCCAACTCAAACATCACCGACATGCCTAATAAAGGACTGCCTCATTCACTAAGCCAAAGTCATTGGTCTGGAATCAACTACATATTTAAAAGATGCTAAATGTGAAAACTTTATACTAAGTAATCACAAAACAGAGAAACCAAACTTTTGACATTGTCAAATTCACTCCAAAATTTCGGAGTTTAAAATTTCCTCTTTTTTCTATCTGTTTTTTCTCTCCACATTTTTTTTTTTATGAATTCACACCAGTTTTCCCATGAGCAACAAAACAGCCCATATTCACATCAATAATGAAAATATATATGGCACAGCAATAACTCTAATATACTTAAAAGATAAATAAATTAATCGAATTCATCAATGAAACATTGAAATATATCATGACAAAACCTCTCATGTGTCAAGCAGCCCAACCTTGCAGGAAGAGTCGGTGTCATAGTTCCTGTTCTCTGAAATTGTTTCTTTCCAGAAAGCCATTTTGCTGGGAAACCAACCAAAATACAGCAACACATACTGAGTGCTCTAATCATCAACTAAATTTTCCGATTTCCATCTTCTTGATCGCCCTTTGACCATGGTATATGAACGAATCTAATATCCCCGAAACAGTGAAAACACCTGAACACATTTTCCAGAATAAATTCTTATATGCCCAAATGCAAACATTTAAAGGAACAATAGCAATTATGTATGACAAAGTAGATCAGCACTAGTCTTTGAACAAACAAGAAAAACATTCCATTTTTTTAAGTCAACATAGAAAAAGGGTAAATTACACCAGCCTCCCCAGACAAATTAGCAAAATACAATGAGCATCCAAAGTTCAAAAAAAAATTACACGACCTCTCCTCAAGTAACAGTAACGTACACTGAGTTAATTGAGGGAATGATATTAGTCTTTTACCCTCAGACCCTCTCCTACCATCTCTGTACTCTTCTTCCCAGCCCACTACCAACCCCATAGCCCCCTGCCATTCCCACACAATGTTGTCAATACAGTTCCAGTTAACATATGGCTTTTGTCAATGGTACAGTACATACCAGTACCGGTGCATTTCAGTGTACTGTTTCAGATTTATCTTTATAAATTTAACATATCAGTAACATTATTTATCTTCACTTATAAAATTTGATATACCTAATGTTATTTGTATATCAAGTATTGTTTAATACCGAACTATTTATACATAACACAATCATCTAATTCTATTACATATTTAAAAGTAAATGTTAACAATTATTTTGTTGAGGGAGAAGATAAGTTGAGAGAGAATCGATTGAGATGGTTTGGTCACATTCAACGGAGACCAACAGAAGCAGTAGTGAGTGTTAGGGGACGGGGAATGCCTAGATTAACGTTGTAAATAGAGATATGAATCTACTTAATTTGATTAACGAAATGGCCTTTGATAGGACCTCGTGGAGAAGAAGAATTCATGTAACCGACCCCATTTAGGGATGGCAATTTGAAACCAGCCCGACGGGGACCCGATCCCCCGACCCCGATTTGAGCGGGTTTTCCCCGAAAAATATCCCCGACGGGATGGGGATGGTATTCAAAAACCAATCCCCGATTAATTTCGGGCCGGGGACGGTGATAAGTGCCCAATCCCCGGCCCCGGCCCGGCCCCGCCCCGCATGTCCCCGAACTGATCTATATATATATATATAATATATTTTTTTATTATTTTATTTGTTTCCGTCTCTCTTTTAACCCTCTCTCATTTCTATTTTTTTGTTTCATTTCATTAATGCCTTCTCTCTCTCTTCCCTCTACTCCCTCTCTCTCTCTCTCTCTCTTCCTCTCCATCTGAGACGCTACACAGTCCATCTCCGACGATGCCACCTCCAACTAGGACGACGACGAGGAGCGCCACCTCTGACGACGACGAGCAGCAGAGAGATGGGAGGACGACGGGCGACGAGCAGATCAAGGCCAGATCAGATTCAGATCTGCCCTTTGAATTCAGACGAGCAGATCGACTTAGAGTTAGATCAGATCTCTACTCCCTCTCTCTCTCTCTCAGATCAGATCGACTCAAAAAAAAAAAAAAAAAGCAACAGATGGAAGACAAACACTTAATTCTTTTTGAGATCAAGCAAATGGTATTTTTTTAATTATATAAAATGTAAAAATAAATCCCTCTCTGTTTGTTTGTTGTTGTTGGTTTTTTTGTTTTTTTGTTTTTTTGGGTCCGGGGAATTTCGGGGTCGGGGAAACCCGATCCCCGTTAGAGGGCGGGGACGGGGGGCAGTGATAGGTCCCCGTCGGGGATCGGGGCCGGGGATAGGGAAAATTTTACCATCGGGGATCGGGGACGGGGACTGTGATCCCCGGCCCCGCCCCGCCCCGTTGCCATTCCTAACCCCATTTGATGGGACTTAAGGCTTGGTTTGGTTTGGTTAACAATTATTATGTGGCATTACATGATTAAAGGAAAATGTGTGTAACTTGTGTTTAGCAAACATGCTTACAATTTTTGTTGAAAATGTGAGGCAAATAGATGTGACGTGTGTAACACACAAGATTGAAGCCCTTGGTGGAAACTGCCAACAATTTTCTACTTCTCAAAACTTCTTTCCAAAAATATGAAAGTTGGTCCCACAAACCAATCTGTATCTTTTCTGAGAAGATTAAACAGACACTAAAAACCAATCTGTTGGTTGCTTCACCTTGACCTTACGTCTGCTGGTACCACAATCACAATCAGCATCTCATTCTTGGTTGCTTGGTATGAATATATATAGTTAAATATTTGGAATTTTATTTCAAAGTATAAGATCTGATTTGTTTAATATATATATGTCATTTTGATTGTGAAAATATCTCCTTCCAAATAACCAATAGACTTTTGCTAGGGACTCAACATACAGCAGAATGCCAAGCTATGCTGGAATAACCCAAAAAATTTATTGGGAAGGGATTGGTGGCCATGTGTTCTATTTTTTTGCCGAAGTGGTATGTCCCAAACTGTACCGGCTAGTACGGGACGGGATAGGGTTATTGACATTATTCTTACCCTCTCGCCTTATTCTTCTAACCGTCATCTCCCACACCCCACCACACTTTCTCTCCATTCTCACCCTCACCTCCCTCACCCCACTAGCTCCCGACCTCAATCACCCCATTGGCTCCCCATCCTGATTGTGACCGCCACTAGGAATGGCAACGGGACGGGGCAGGCTCCCCGTCCCCGATCCCCGAAGGCACAAAAGTCCCCATCCCCGTCCCCGATCCCCGGCGGGAAACCCATCACCCTCCCCACCCCCGCCCCCAACGGGGATCGGGGATCCTCGACCCCGAAAAATCCCCGTAAAAAACAACATCCACAACAAACAACAACCCCGCCAACAGAACAGATCAGCAACCACAACTTTACAACAAAAATAAATGGACAGATCTGATACACACACACACATACATGTATACATATACAATAGATGAACCAAAAAAAAAATGATACTGATACACACTCACACACACACATACATGTATACATATACACAGATCTGTGTGGATCGTGCACGGATCCATGTCGATCGACTCAGATTTACGCCGAAACATGGCTAAAACCGCGGTGCTACGGCGAGAGAGAAGAGAGAGAGGAGGTGCTACGGCCTACGGCGGTGCTGCGAATCTGCTATGGAGGATGGTAGAGGAAGTGCTGCGACGGAGGACGGCGGAGCGGCTATTCTTGAGACTGGATCTAGTTTGGATCAACATGGGTTTGAGAAAGTTGACAGAGAGAGAAGAACGAAAGAGTGAGAGAGAGATGAGAGTCAGTTGAGAGAGTGAGTTGAGATGAGAGTATGTATATGAGAGAGAGAGAGTTATATAAATATAATAATACAACAATAATACAACTAAACATATAAATAGAGTTATGATAAATATAATAATACAACTAAACATATAAATAGGATACACGTGGGGATCTTTCGGGGAAATGTTGGGCCGGGGTCGGGGCGGAGAAATTTATCCCCGTCCCCGGCCCGAAAATCATCGGGGATGCATTTTTTAATACCAGCCCCGGCCCTACGGGGAATAATTTTCGGGGAAAAACCTATTTATCGGGACGGGGCAGTCCGGGTCCCCGTCGGGCCGGGTTCATATTGCCATCCCTAACCACCACCCATTGAGACCCCCTGTTACCATCCAACGCCACCCATCACGACTCTTCTTCTTCCTAGCTCACCACAAGATTGTTTTTTTATGTCGAGAAGTGTTTACAAAGACAATTCAGCCACGACATAGGATGGGGAGGTGGAGGTTTCCAGTGGCGGTTGCCTCCAACAAAGCCTTAGTGAGAAACCCCATTCCAGCTGTGGTTGTGTCCAACAGTACTGTTCCAATCGTTCGATTGCAAAGGGGGGTAGCCTTTGGGTTGCTGAGATAGCAACCGTTCAATTGCACCATTACAATCGTTCAATTGGAAGTGGCAAGGTTTGGTTTTGATTTTTAGGTGGTGGTGACTAATGGAGAAGATTAAGGTGCTGGCGTCGAGTTGGTGGTGGTTGATTGGACTGGCGGATTGGGGTGGTGGTGGCTGTTGTTGTCAAATCACGAATCGAATTGTGAATCGTTTAGCTAAAACAGCGAATCATGAATTGTATCAAATTGTGAATCGTAAGATTCACTTTATTTAATATATTTTATAAAATTTTATATATGTATATACATATAAACACACACACAATGACTGCTAAAAAAAATAAACATACATGCAATGTTTAAAGTGAAATAAATATCAATATAACTAAATTGTAACTTGTATATTATGTATAACTAACTATATACATATAAAACCACATATATTAATAATACTAAAATATAACTAATTGATCTCCTTTTTATTTATTGATTGAGAGGTGAAAACAATGTTGTTTCACGTATTATGCAAATAAAAATAATAATAATAAGAAAAACGAACTGAACCGTAATGAATCACAAACTGAATCACATAATTCGCTCAATTCCCAATTCGACAAAATGGTTCGAATTGTTTTGGTTGAAACATGTATAGAATTGTATAAATTGAATTGTGAATCATGTGATTCTAACAACCATGGTCGTGGCAGATTGGGGCAGCGGATGGAATGGTTGCAATGGATTGGAGTGGTAGCTGACTGAGTGGTGTACATGATTGATTTCAGTTTACTGATGTGAAATGTCATCAACAAAATAGTTGGAATTGGTAGAAAGAAGCTTGAATTTTGCTTGCAATTTGGTGATGGCCACATGAATGAGAAAGAAGAGGTGAGCAGGAAGGTGGAGGGAGAAAGGGGAAAAAGTATGGGAGAGGGAAGGCAGAGAGAGGAAAGAAGAGGATTTCTCATTTGGGTTTCAGTCAATTAAGGGCAAAATGGAAAATTTAGAGCAAAAAGTGATGACATCATAAAATATTTCATCTAGCTCTTTTCCAGATCCCTAACAAGTGAAGGGTTGAGTGAAATGCAACTCAAAAGTCAAGGGATGTGGTGTAAATTTCCCAATCTTAGGGGGCTTCCTGTACTTTTCCCATTTGTCAAGTGAGGTTAGTGTAATTTACCCCTGAAACAATGAATATTTCTAAGATTTCCTGGTCAGGTGCCATCATCATTCAAAACACATGCCTACATCCCGAGCTGGGTGTTTGACTATGAGGAAAATACCTAGCACTAGTATTTTAAACCACATCCATTTTACTTACAGGCAACAAAAACACTGAAGAGAATGGCCAACCAAAATCAGTAAACATTTGGTTCCAATTATGAAGTAAGAGAATGATGAGATTTACTTGTTCACAAATGACAGTAGCATAAACTTCATTCATTGGATGGGGTCTAGGTGGTGGTAAATTGGGTACCCATGTCCATTCAACTGATTTAGGTTATAAAGCAATAGAAGAAATATAATCATAGCATGCAACAACAGTATGGCAACTTCATTATTGTTATATATGCTTTTGTGTGGAAGGGGGGAAGAAGCAAAAGAGAAGATATTACCTCCAACTATTGCACAGACATTTGTTAGGAAGTGTAGGAATGAAATGTGTTCCTCAGTGAAAGTCACCTGTACCATGAATCACAAATAATTGAGACCAAGAATAATTATGCTTATACAAGACATTTGTATCTTATTTCCCAAAAGAAAAAAAAAAGAAAAAAAAGGAACCTTGATCAAAATAAATTTGTAAGCACTTCACATTAGCAATTAATCAGTATTAAATGAAACAAATGCTTAAAAAAATGAGCTAAAATGCATCACATTGAGAAACTTAATCAATCAACCGACATTCATCAACTGATCAACATTTTCAACAATTTGAGGGTTTAATAAGATGTGGAACCTGATTATGCAAAAATTGCCAGAGGAACCCACCTTGATAGGTGAAAGGTCGTAAAAGAAGAAAACTCCAGGAAGGGACTGAAGGAGACCTACTTCTTCTGCACTCCTAAAATGTTCAGTTACAGAGAACTGCATGGAACAAATGCCAGTGACCTCTCGTCAATATTCAATAAATATAAGATAGAAGACAGAGAATGATAACTCGTGATAGTCAAACCTGATTCGATTGGATAGTGTGTCCGCGGACATCCGTGTATACAGTAGGTACCACCTGCAGAAGAGAGAGCTTAATGTTGCAAATATTCACAAGACCTGATACTAAATAGTAAAGTTGCTTTCTTTTGCTTCTTATTTATATCCAAATCAAAATATGCCATAAGCTTAGATGGCATCAGATGGAGGTTGTACCATGGTATTGAGTATCAGATGAACTTGCATACTTTCTTCACCTTAGAACAACTATCAAATCATTTGATAATAAAAATAGGGAAATAAGCTCCTTTCTTTTTCACAGGGAATATTTTTTTTATTTTAATTTTTAACGTTCTTTTTATTTCTTTTTTGGTTAGCAGTTTTAATTTATCATTAAATTGTTGCAGCCACTGTTCATCTTGTTGGGGCTGCAGGACAAGGCAAGCTAATTGGTTTCAGCTCACAAAAAGTTCATTTATTGGCACAGCTGAACTACAATTGACTCAGGTTTTTAACTTTATTAATATGAAGACTTTGAGTTCAATCAACTTGTGAGGCTCGCCTCAAGAAATCTTGTAATTTCCGACCCATCGTCAGCGTTTTGATTTTCTATTGAATTATAAAAATAAAAAATAAAAATTAGAGTAAAAAAACCAAGGATGTGTTAACAAGGAAGTTACTGCTGAATATTAACCCATTCCAAAACAATAGAATATATTTGAAAAAAATTGAGAAGGAAACTTCAACACTGCTCTGTTACTCATCTCATTGGTACTTGAAAGTTGTAAATCAATAAGATCTCTCTGTGGCCTGGAAACTCATTTAGGTTTCCTAATTACATCCATGAATACCATTCAGCATTTTCCAGATGCTTTCACAGTTCAAGAGCTGTGCAAAGCAGTAAGCGCTTTCCTAATATAACAAGGGAAGCTCAATCTTCACCAACCACCATTTCAAGCAGATGATGACTTGAAGAACAACTCCTTGGAAATGACACAAACCAAGACTAGTTTTGACATTACTCACTAACTATGAAGCTCTGATTCAAAAAAATGAGGACATGGACTCGGCAGGAATATGTCAGTTTTTTTATTTTTATTTGCTATGTATATAACTATTAAATCCATAAACAACCAAAATTAATGAAAACTAACACTAATTTAACATTTAAAAGAAAACACATTAAATTTAAATCATCCAGAAACTAAAATTGTGTTGCGTTAGGGCCCCAGAGATAGTCAGAAACCAATCTCTTAACTTTACAACTGCATTTAGATTTGTATTGTATTGTTGATAATTTGTTATGAGTTTTATATTTTTTTGTAAAGTCAACCCTCATGTTTTCAAATATTATAATATGACCCTTAAAATTAACGTTAGAAAATTCAAATAAGACCCAATATATCTCAAAGTGCATCCTTTCATGCATCCACTATGTCCAATGAAAAAACAAGTATTAAAAAAATGGATGCACCACGTAATGTGTTGGACACGTATCCCCACCATATTCGTCTCTCATATTTTTGACACAGCTACAACACCTATTTTGAAGTGTTGGTGCTTCATAGCTCACTAGGCTTGAGCTTATTTACAACTCTACCTCTTATAGACAAATATCGGTATCAGTAAAAGGCATGTGAAGCTTTTCTATGTCTATAGGCATGTGGGACATGTTTCCTACATCTTCCTGCCATATCCATCTCACGCATGCGTTCGACACGGCTATGACACCTACCTTGAAGTGTCAGTGCTTAATAGCTCACTAGACTTTTGCTCATTTAAAACTCTACCTCTTACAGATAAACACCAGTAAAAGGTTTGTGTCGGACAAGTGTCCTTGCCATGTCAGTGTCAGTGTTAGTGTCAGTGTCAGTGTTCGTGTCCCATACATGTTCGACACGGCAACAACACCTATTTTGAAATGTCAATGCTTCATTGGTCACTAGGCTTTAGCTCATTTACAGCTCTACATTATAAACAAACATTAGTATAAGGCTTGTGAAAATTTTCTACGTCTATCAGCATGTCGAATATGCATCCCTACAGTGCCTGTGTCCCATAACTGCCTGACATGTCTACAACAATAATTTTGAAGTGTCACTGCTTCATAGCTCACTAGGAAGTGCCCCATGTGTGCCCTACGTTGCGTGTCGTATGTGCCACAACATGTCTTTGCCGTGCCCAGAGTTGGCTCAACCATTAAGCTACTTAGGAGATCGCCAAAGGCCCACAAAAAAATTTCAATTTATTTTTATTTTTTACTATTGATGGCCTTAACTTTTTGAAGGCTTAAATAAGGTCTCATTTTGATGTTTAGCCTAAGGCCTCCAAAAATCTTGACCTGTCACTGGCCATGCCTATGTCCTGTATGTGTCAAAACAACTACAACACTTATTTTGAAGTGTCGGTGCTACATAACTCATTTACAACTATGTGACATGAACTCTTCAAAATAAATTAAATACCCGTGTCTAACACCCGATACTTGGACAAGGGTGCGGGCGGTATATATGTCCGATATTTTTTATCAAACGCTTCTTATATATTTGTGTTTAACACCATCATTACATGTATATATTGTTGTATAAGTGCTTTAAAATACGTAAAATACCTTTTTAACATTGTATGTGTTAAATTATGTGCTTGAGGGTAATAGTGTCATTGTACTTATTTCCCTTATTATTGTAAATATATGTGTTTAGAGAGGTAAGAAATCTAATTAGGTTTAACACCTTCTCTTCCAGTAAATCTCTCTCTCTCTCTCTCTCTCTCACACACACACACACAATTCTTGTGTTTCATTCTTAACTTGGTATCGGAGCAAATAATTTGTTTCTATTCTTTTATTTTTTAATTTTTTCGTTTCGGTCTTCCCTGTTCTTCCCAATAATATAATAAAAAAAAAAAATTACCATCATGAATGACTAGGGTAGAGGATTCACTAGAAAAAGTTTCAATTTTTTTTGGTTTTTGGTTGCCTATTTTTTCGATTTTTCTTTATTTTATGGGAAAATAGGTTCGATTTTTGATTTCTTCATTTTTTCAATTTTTTGATTGATTCATCACTTGGGTCCCACAGCTATCGGAGCCGACCAAATGCTCTAGCGTACCCTTTGGCTTCGGTTGATGCTTTTGGATGATTTTTTTATCCTTTTTTGGCTTCACAGAGTTGTCGAGCTTCTTCCAAGGGTCAGTGTTTTTTGCTCCTTGCTTCAGCCATTGTTTTTCTAGCCTTTTTTTAATGTTGTTGGGCTGTCTTTGTTGAGTAACAATTTCCTTTTGATAGTTTTCTGCGGTTGTCTTGTTTGTTGGGTGTGCTAGCACTATTCTAGGTCATGGCAAATGATGGTAAGACCCCTATAGTCAGTGAAGTGAAAGAATCCAATTCCAATGTCTCTTTTGGTGATAATTCCTCTCTTTAGCTTACTTCAGTCAAGTTGGATGGTACCAATTATCTGGTTTGGTCGCGTTCCTTTCAATTGGCCATTACTGCTCGTGGCATGTTTGGTTACATCAAGGGAACTACTAAGGCTCCTAAGGAGGATGGACCAACCCGAGATAAATGGAAAAAGTAGAATGCTCTTGTCATGACTTGGCTCATTAACTCTATCCACTCCAGTATTAGCCTCTCCTTTGTTTTGATGGACACAACTCATGAGATTTGGACGACCGCAACCCAAATGTCTTCCCAGCGTGGCTCAAGATGCTACTACCTTTTAGCTGATGGTGTCCAAGGAGAATGTCTAAGATTTTCTTGCTAGTCTTAACATTGAGTATAATCAGATTCGTGTTCAGATTCTTAGTTGAGATCCTTTTCCCATTGTGCGTGAGGCATATGCTTATGTTCAGCAAGAAGAGAGCAGGAGTAGTGCTATGGTTCATCAGCTTGTCCAAGATTGCTCTACTCTCGTTGTTTCTTCTGCTCCAAAGGACGGCCATGTCTCCAAGTCTGGGAACAAAGGTGCTAGTGTTGATCGTGGTTAGATTACCTGTGATTATTACGGGAAAGGCTGGCATGATAGGGAGCGTTGTTGGAAGTTGCATCGTTGTCCTCCTTGAGGTCAGGATGAAGCCCATAGTGGTACTCGTGGATGTGGTGGCACTATTTGCACCCCTGCCCATCTCTTTGAGTCTTTTGCCAACACCTTGGGTGATTCTGCTACATTTTCCCATGATGAGTTGCATGCTCTCCGGCGTCTAATTGCTCGCCTTGATTCTTCCTCTATCCCGGCTTCTAAGCCTCCCTCTACTTCCAACTTTGCTTCCAAAGGTATTCCTACGAGTGCCTTGACTGCTTCCTTCTTCATGACCACATGACCGGTTTGTCTCATCTTTTCCACTCTTACTCTCCTTGTTCTGGCAAGGATCCTACTGACCACATGACCGGTTTGTCTTATCTTTTCCACTCTTACTCTCCTTGTTCTAGCAAGGATAAAGTAAGAGTTACTGATGGGCCTTTATCTTTTGTGTCTGGGACAGGCTCTGTTCAGTGTTCTTCCTCTATTTTTATTTCTTCTGTTCTTCATGTTCCCCAATTTTCTACTAATTTACTCTCTGTTAGTCGTCTTACCAATTCACTAAATTGTTCCACAACCTTTTATCTCTCTCATTGTTTTTTTTAGGAATTGGATACGAGGAGAACGATTGGCAGTGGTAAAGCACATGGGGGCCTGTGCTTTCTAGATGCCAGACTTTCTTCCCTTGTATCTTTTCACCAAGCTCTTCAAGCGACTGAAACTTCTGCCCTTCCCTTGTTACATCAGTGGCATTGGCGTTTAGGACACCTCTCTATTTCTGTTTTAGAAAAAAAAAAATTCTTACTTTAGTAAAAAATTGTCATAAGAATAATTTTCATTGTGATGCTTGTGAATTTGCTAAACATAAACGTTCTTGTTATCCTCCCATTAATAAAAGAAGTCTTTTTCCTTTTATGGTTATTCATTCTAATGTTTGGGGTCCGTCTCGTGTTATGTCTGTATCTGGTTATCGGTGGTTTGTCACATTTATTGATTGCTATTATCATGTGACTTAGGTTTGCTCCGGACCAAACATGAAGTTTTTTCATGTTTTCAGACTTTTCGTAAGATGGTGCTTACTCAATTTGCTACCCCCATTAAAGTCCTCTGGAGTGACAATGGCACTGAATATATTGACGGTGCATTTCGGGCCTATCTTGAGGCCTATGGCATTTTATATCAAACCAGTTGAGTTGGTGCCCCTGAACAGAATTGTGTTGCCGAGCACAAGAACCGTCATCTACTTGAGGTTGCTCGTGCTCTTCTGCTCACAATGCATGTATCCAAACCATACTGGGGTGATGCGGTTATTACTGCTACATATCTTATTAACTGCATGCCTTCGAGTGTCCTCCAATTTTAATGCCCTCTTGACCTTCTTCCCCGGGCATCTATTCACTTTATCTCCCTTCCACCTAAGGTCATTGGTTGTGTCTGCTTTGTCCATTCCCCTCGCCCCCATCATAGCAAACTTGATCCTAAGGCTTTGAGGTGTACTTTTCTCAGTTATTCCTCTACTCAAAAAAGCTATCGGTGCTATGACCCTCAGACTCGCAAGGTTTATATTTCTATGGATGTCATTTTCTGAGAGTCTGAGTCATTCTTTCCGGGATCCTCTCTTTAGGGGGAGGTTTCTATTCCAGAAGACCTACTCTCGGCGACAGAAGGAACATGTGCCTAATGTGCCGCTATGACAATCATCTCCATCTCCAGTTTCAAGTAATGAGTTATTAATTGCTAATTCTCCTATCCCTGCTAGTGATGTTCATGAAGTTGATGACTCTGATCTTCCCATTACTATTAGGAAAGGAGTTAGATCTTATACTCAACATCCTATATCTCATTTTGTATCATATGATTCATTATCTCCATCGTACCGTGCCTTTGTTTCGTCTTTATCTTTTGTTTCTATTCTGCAGGGTTGGACGGAAGCTCTCAATGATTCTAAGTAAAAAGAAGCCATGGCAGAGGAGATGAGAGTACTGAGTACGAATGGCTTACTCAAACTTATGGCATTGACTACCAGGAGACCTTTACACCAGTAGCCAAGATGAATTCCATCCGTGTTCTTCTTTCCTGTGCAGCAATCCTAGGATGGCTATTACAGCAGTTAGATGTGAATAATGCGTCTCTTCATGGGGATCTAGAAGAGGAAGTGTGTATTAATGTTCCTCCAGGTTTTTCTTCTCCAACCACTGAAGGGAAGGTTTGCTGGTTAAAAAAGGCCTTGCATGGGTTGAAACAATCTCCTAGAGCTTCGTTCAATAGATTCCTTAAGGCAATGCTTAGTTTTGGGTATAAGCAAAGCCATGCATATCATACTTTTTTCATCGAACAATGTGGGGATAAGATCGCTGTACTTATTGTGTATGTGGATGACATTGTGGTGACAGGCAATGATGAAGAAGAAATGTCCAAAGTCAAAGCTCAACTTTTCAGGGAATTTGAAATAAAAGATCTCGGACCTTTGAGGTACTTTATTGAAATTGAGATTGCGAGATCAGATAGGGGCATCTTTATTTCGCAAAGGAAGTACATCTTGGACTTACTTGAGGAGGTAGGCATATTGGGATGTAGGCCCCCTGATTCTCCTATTGAGGCTGCTCATAGGCTCAGTAGTAGTGACAGAGAACATGTGGACAAGGGGAGGTATCAAAGGCTTGTGGGAAGACTAATATACATTTTTCATACCAGGCCAGATATTGCTTACGTCATTGGCGTTGTTAGCCAATACATGCATGATCCTCGGACGGGGCATTTGGATGCAATTCATCGAATCTTAAGGTATCTCAAATCAGTGCCTGGAAAAGGCATCTAGTTCTCCAATCATGGTCATTTAAGGTTAGAGGCCTTCACCGATGTAGATTGGGCTAGTGCTATTGATGATAGGAGGTCTAACATAGGCCATTGTGCATTTGTAGGAGGAAATTTGGTGACTTGGCGGAGTAAGAAGTAGTATGTTGTTGCCAGATCGAGTGCAGAAGTGGAGTATCGAGCCATGACGCATGGCATTTGTGAGTTGATGTGGCTGAAAGTTTTATTGGCTGACCTAGGATTGCTGAGTGGTGGTTCTATGTGACTGTATTGTGATAATAAGGCCGCTATTAACATTGCGCATAATCCTGTTCAACGTGATAGAACTAAGCACATCGAGATTGATCGACATTTTATCAAGGAGAAAGTGAATAGTGGCATCATTTGTTTGTCTTTTGTCACATCTAAAGATTAGTTAGGTGATGTATTTACCAAAGAGTTAGGGATTAAAGTGTTTCATCCTTTTGTATGCAAGTTAGGCACGAGGGATATGTATTCACCAACTTGAGGGAGAGTGTAAAGTAATGTGCTTGAGGGTAATAGTGTCATTGTACTTATTTCCCTTACTATTTATAAATACATGTGTTTAAAGAGGTAAGAAACCTAACCTAACACCTTCTCTTCCAGTAAACCTCTGGCTTTTTCTTTTTTTTTCCCTATCTCTCTCAATTCTAGTGTTTCATTCTTAATTGTATGTTACATATAACACCATTTTATCTCATATAATAGATTAAAAATATAAAATATGACCTATTTTTTCAAGTCAGCATTGATGGGTCCGACCTCTATATACACACACCAGTACCCACACTTGTACCTGAGTCCATGTAACATGGTTTACAACTCTTACCTCTTACAGTCAAACATCATTAAAGGACTTGTGAAGCTTTTCTGGTGATAATCGGGAAAGAATGCAATGCTTTAGCTCTAACTACTGTAGGACCAATTAAAAGAAAAGAGTTATAGAATGACATATATATGCAGTCATCTAATTTATCAATATATATATATCCAGTCATTTAGAACACTAACCTTGAGAAAATATTGATACATCCCACTTGGAGTCTCTTGTGTCCATTGCACACTGCAAGTTGAAGCAATAAGAAAGAAGAAAGATGTGACAGCATATGCAATAGCACACTGAATGAATAAGTCAAATATGAGTGGAAAAATACCGGTCAAGAGGATTCACAACACCAGGGAAATATTCTCCAAAAGCTAATTTATTGATTTTGTGACTTACCTGTATCACATAAATATATATTAATATAAGCAAACGGATTCTTCGACATAATATGAGAACAAAAGGAAAGCAAATAAAAAAATGATTTTTTTATTTATTTTTAATTACAAACAAACATCATAATGTTAAATATTATACATTTACAATCAGAAATTAGTGCAGTAGGGTCATATCTTACATTAAAACTATCCTTCTGAAAAACTAGCAGATCGTGCACATGAACCCCTGATTGATGAAAGCTTTTCCCAGGTGCAAAGTGGAAATTTCCAGCCACTTTATTAACTTCTAAGAAACCATATATATTGCATCCTTCACCTTCTTCGTCTTTAATCCTTTGAAGAAAACCTTCTCTTTTGCACTAAACATCACATGTAAAATCAGAAGAAAAAACTTAAATCAAGTTCAATGTCATGATGAAATGGTGCAAACCATATGTCAACAAAACCAAGACACAATAAATGCCCAGTCTATTGTGTCGATGAGAAGGAAGAAGAGGTCAATCATCACTTTCAAAGGTAGTACAACAAGGATAAAATTATCACAAAGAATCTAGGCTTTGAGCCCAGAGCACACTACCTCACAGAATGAATTAAAGGCCCAAAGTGATGCAGAAAGTGACATAGAAATTTTATTTATTTTGTGATTTTATATTTATGTTTATTTATTTTGTATTGATAGTTTAATTAGGATCTTAGAATATTTAAACTTTCAAATAACGTTATGATTTGGTTTCTTATTTTAAATTAGGGTTTCAAGCCTATAAATATTAGGTCTTTCCATTGTAATAGTTAGCTTTGGATTATTGATGTTTAATACAAGGCTATGGCCGCTTTTGTTAGACTAGGGTTTTGACCCTTGTGCTCTTCTTCTTTCTTATTCTTCTTAAAACTTTGATCTTCTCTTTAGATGAATTCTCCATACATTCTGGTTTTGGGATTAGTTAGATTGTAGAATGGGTTTCTTCATAGCCGTTCGGTATCACAAAGTCATCAACCTTATGAATGAAGCATCATGTAAAACACAAGCACAAGAACAAGCTAAGAGCAATGAAAGAGGTAGATTATTATTATTATTTTTTTGCCTGTATTAACCTGACAAAGGTTGTGTTAACTAAAACCACCAGATACATTAAATTAGTGACGTTCACATAGTTTCTTATAGACTCATCTGAGTCTGTAAATGTTTATTTTGTTTTATTTTTGTTAAAATCCACCTCACCTCACCTACTTCACCCACTTAAACCTACTCCACTAAACCTAACCCACTACACCACTACCACCTTACCTACTCCACTAAACCTTCACCCACTTAAACCTACTCCACTAAACCTAACCCACTACACCACTACCACCTCACCTACTCCACTAAACCTAACCCACTACACCACTACCACCTCCACTTCACCTACTCCTCACCTACTACACACTCACCCTCTCCTATATATAGGAATCATTGTAACCATAACATTAATATCAATCAATAATACAATTCTCCATTTCTCTTTATAGATTAAATTTTCTACAATTTTTTTGTGCAATGAAGTGCCAAGGTCCTAAGAAAAGGGAATATGTCCAGAATTTGCAATCCCAATCATGTCCAAAAAGGAGAATAGATCTCTAAATGCAGGAGAGTATGGAAAACAGAAAGTCCTGGAAAACAGTTAAAAGCCTTGTTAGTGGTGTAGAATCAGAGAGGAGAAGGAAAAAAAGAAGAGAAAGAGAAGACAAAGTATTTCTAAGAGATCTGTGAGCTGTCCCTACAAATGAAACCTGGGAAACCAAGCATGCAAGAAATTTACAGCTAGAATTACACTAGGCTAATTGTGCAACAACTCGTGATATTTCTAAATGTGATAAACTTCTCCGAGGCCATGTAAATTAAGCATCCAACATGTGGAGGGGTTATTAATCATTGTCTATAGCCTATAAGAGCTAGTCCAAAAGATTACACAATGATTGGTCTCAAGTATCCTTAAACATCTTGCTAAAGGTTCTACAAAGTCAGAAGTGTTTTACCGAGATAACTTATCAAAACAGACTAATATGTTGCAGGACTCTTCAAGAGAAAGCATAAGATTAAAATAGTTAGAAGGGAACAATATTGACAGAGCATTTTACCTCTAAAGGAAATAATTACAACAATATTGCGAAAGTCATTTTCAAGTATCAGAATGATCCTACATGCAGCCATTAAAACCCCAATGATAAGAAGAATTCCCATACATTGGCACTTTCATTTTACGGCAATGATATGCCATGTACTTGCACTTCACAGCATCACAAGATTCACAAAAGTGAATAACCAATTTCAATGTTATGCATGCAGGATGTTTCAAGTGATTTTGTGTTCCAGAAAAACAATTTTTTTTTATTTTTATTTTAAAAGAAACACTAGCAGACCTGGTCAATCGAATCTGGATTTGATAGTGCCCAACCTTTCTTTCTATATAATTCACGAACTTCATCACAAGAGTTACAACAATCATCATCTGACTGCAAAATAGCAAGAATTGGGGAAAACCGATAAGCAACGGAAACAGAAACTTCTTTCACTGTATTGGTTGAGTTTGCACAACATAATATAATGAATGTCAAAACCAGTGTACAAAAATAAATAATAAATTTAACGGTAGATGCTTAATAACTAAACTAACAAGAGCAATTTACCTGGATATATAATAAACCCAAGACTTTTGTCATAACTTGAACCAAGGAGGTAAATGTTAAAATTATGGAAATTTTCCAAGTCCTATTGTTGTAAATATATATTTAGTTGTACCAAAGCCTGTGTCCTACATTTGACATGTCTATATCGCGTTGTATCTGTATCCTGTTTATATATCTGTGTTTCTTAAGAATTATTCAAAATTGCTCCAAAGTAAGTAGGTGCTTCTTCCAAATTAAATTGACACAGAAATGAACTGAATATGTCCAGCTCAATAATCCATAACTCTTATGAAAATTTCTTGTATAAGCTTCAGAATTAAATATTCAACTTAGCAATGACACACAAGGCCATAGAAAAACATACCACTTCCGCACCATAGCATGAACCACAATATGTCTCATTGTGTTCAAGCCTCCCACCATGTCTTTGTAAAGGCTTTTCAATCTGTGCCATTCATAAAAAAGTTAGAAGATAAGAAAAATCTGAGAGGAAAAAACAGAACAGAACCAAAAAAAAAAAAAAATAGCAGAAAAATTGCTCACGGGGCAAAAAGGGGAGAGGATTTCATTATAAAACATCAAATTATGAATGATTTAGAGGCAGTCTGCTCCACAACAAAAATCAAGAGGGTTTGCAATAAACATAAAGTCTCCACCAAAACATGCCCCCTTTCTACCATTAGATTCTATTATGAGTTTTGAAATGCCATTTGTGGTTAATGCTATATATAGGCATATAATGAGGGAATAGGTATTTCTCACGTGCCAAAGTCATAGTAACATGGCATCTAATGGGGTGCAGTGTGTCAAGGGTTCAATTTTCATCATTGTAAGTCCCCCACTCCACCCACTCGAAAAAAAATAAAAAACAAAAAAACAAATATTCAATATACAGATGTAAACAATTGTTGGATTTCAAGAACAATCTTATTACTGACCTTGGGAGCACCAATACCATCCTGCCTTTCTTCTATTACATTACCATGTGTATCAAGTCTTTTCTTGACAATGTCATGTTTCTGCAAGCAGGGATAAAATTAAATGTCACTCAAAGTAAGTGGGAGGGTTTGGATCTGTTCAGGTTAAAATTGTGATGGAAATTTTCAACAGTGCTTCATTGGTGCTTTGCTAAATTCTTCTTACTCTTGCCATGCTTCCATATTTATTCTATTAGCATTATACTCTATATTACATTAATCTTGTAACTTCACAGAAGCATGGTGTACATATGACTACCAGTATCCAAATATTTGGCACTCAGGACAATGAAACAATTTTTTGTGCAAGACAACAGGACAAAAAGTGTCAGCATGGTGAAAACTCTGATAGTGGAGAACCTGTACATTTATGGCATTTAATTTTGAGAAAGAATCGCATGACAAGATTAAAGTGAATTTCACGTATAACTTATGCAAAATTTCTTTGCAGTACATACAACATCAAGATGTTGCTCCCCGCTGATATCCATGGCATCAAGACTGAGTATAGAACATGGAAGGGCTGGAAAAGTGACATCAAACTGCACTTTCAAATAGAACACAGAAAATGTATCAATTATCCAAATAGAATGGAGAAAATGTACCAATCAGTTATAAGGACAATTAAGGTGAAACAAACAGTTGGGCAATTCACACATAAATAAATATACGGTGCAGATTGGACAAACACTTTCAATGGTAGGCGGAATTTTTAAAAGCAAATGCATAACGCAAGGCATTTTATCCCTTCTGAGGCGAGGCGAAAGCCCTAAAATGTCAAGGAGTAAGCATTTCGAATTTAAATTTTTATATTTAGTAGATAAATTAAATATTTTAAAACACTAAAAAAATATTTATAATAAATATAAAGGTGCAAATACTCTTGTCTTCAATGCTTCATTTCAATGCAAAGAGGGAAGCTTGGCCTAATTGAAGTGATATTGGCATTCTTAGCTTTAGTGATCGAGCTTCTCAACCTTAACTTTTTGTTTTTCTTGCTTGGTCATTTACTTAACTTTTCCTATGGAATATGGTTGCATAAGAGGTTCCTTTTTTTCTCTTTTTTTTTTGGTATCTTTTATGTTTAAACCATCTACTAGACTAAGTCTAACAAAAGCTTAAGACAAGCTCTTCACATGCGTACTCCGCATATGTTTATACGCAAAATCCATACAAGGTGCACCTAAACCGCATGTCTCGAACTGTGATGCACAAGTCTTTGGGGAGTATAGCCTAAAAATCAAAGCTTTGATGTGTTTTGCCGTAGGCTTGTTTTGAGGCTAGCCTCAACAAAGCCTTTTAAAAATTTGATGGTGGATCTGGCAAAAATATATCATGCCGTTATTTATATACAAAAATTATCAAAAGCCCAACAAAAAGACACATTTCAAAAATTAAAATTATTCAAAATGCAGAATCACGAGTACCACAAGAGTTATTCAAAATCCATCTAAAATGGTTATGGTAGAATAGATAGAGCAATGCTTTCCAATTGAAAATTTGTATCCAAACATTATATAGAAATGAAAAGAAAAATTACATTAATGCGTAGGGTTTCTCCTCTTGAGGTATCTACTAATAGCTGTGTCTCAGTTACAGTATAGAGATATAATCCTGCAACAAAGAAGAATTGTGTAGATAAATTAATGACGAACAAATGAAGTATGCACTTTGACAATGGAAGCAAGGAAGGAAATCAAATAGAAGAAGATAAGGACCAATAATGTATTATGGTATTAGAAACTAAAAAGTACGATGTAAAGGCAATAAAAATTCAGGAACCATACATGCAAGAGCATTATGCAAGAGCATTATGATTCTGCAGTGCTAAGGTGAACTAGTAAAAGCAGACCCTCCTACAAGAAAATACAACCATAAAAATATGGGTCTAGAGTAAAAGAATAGCATTTATCACTTAAACTATGAGCGCAGTTAAAGATGATGATAAAGATCGATTAACATTGAAATTGTCCTAGTGGGGGTGAATAAGACAATTCTAATATTTTTTGTTTCTAGTCCTTAAACCCCAATTTCAAACCTTCTGATTACTTGCAGTTATAGTTTGTATTGTTCTCAATATAGTTACTTTCCAACTCCTTAAACTATTCTCTTGATAATGGTAATTTTGGATTACTTAAACTTTATATACCACAAACATTATTCATTCAAATGTTAATCTCTTATGATCATATTCAGACATACATTCAATCTAGATTAGCATATCCAATTATGGATTCATCTCATACATTCAAAGCATATTATAAAATAACATGCAAGTAATGTAAAAGATGAACACCAAGATTTATAGTGGTTCAGCACACCCTTGTGCCTACATCCACTCTTGGCCTACCTTGCTAGCTTCAATCCACAAATCACAACAGGTTTTTACTAGGGTCACCATATTTACTGAAGTGTTCAACCCATTTTATGTTTATGGAAGAGGTTAGGGTGTAACCTAGTGAAAACCCCCATGTGGTTTTACACAGAGCACTTTACACACTGATGTTTAAAAATAACCAAAAAGCCCTCTTAGGTTTCTGGACTAAAGTGCACAATTAACATCATTAACGAAATTCAAAAGTACTTTTATACCCTCCTTGTTGTAACATAGTCGTCTTCTCTTTTTACAGTCATAACCATATTCAACCCGCAACTTCACCAAATACACATACCGAAATACATATAAAAATATACTTGTGTATATACATATTAATTTTATATACTAAAGCTTGATATGCGAGTAAACAAACAATGGAGAATTTGGAGATAAAGTGATAGGAGAAAGGAACTGATCCACCATTATAGTGAGTCAAACTTGCCTTTTAGTAGTCCCACGCTCACCAGTCATACCAATAGCATCTTGGTAGTAATGCGTCCAAAGAACAAAGAGAAGGAGGCTATGGCGGGGGTTTGGGAGGGGAGTTGGAAATGTCGAGAGGGTCAGGGGAGGGGAGAAGCATTGATAATGGTAGGGGAGGTCCTTTTGGGCTCTCGAGATTTTCATTATAGTCAACCACGTCCATCAAAACTGTGGGATTGACTAAACCTACACTATAGACCTTCCTATGATAGATCAGAAACCCTGGTATGGTTGACCAAGCTGACAAACTTAGGCCTATATGTAGTTGGGGAGGAGAGAGTCGGTGGATAGGAAGTCAAGAAGGAAGGAGGTAGTGGTGAGGAAGGTAGTTAGCAGGGGTGGGCGGGGTGATGGGAGGGGTAAGGGGATTAGAGTTTGAAGGTAGAGACAAAAAGAAGGGCAATTTTGTCTTTATAATTGAGATTTGACTTTAACTTTTGGGTAATTCTACTTACACCACATATTTATCTCCTTACACCCTATTTCTTATTACACCACCTTTCGTCTTATTACACTCTCTATAATTCCCAATACATCATCGCCCCTACCAATTCATCCTCTCTTTACACCCATTCACATTAAAAACCCATAATTTCATCCCGCCACCTCTTACTATTGTCTCCTCCACCTTCACTACCACCACCAGTCATCCTTCGCCACTACCCAGTCCCCATCCCCTCACCACCCCTGCAACCACAGTCCCACCATCGGCCAACCGTCCTCCATCTCTGACAACCCTGCCCCACCTATTCCCTTTGTTCTCGCCACCTCTCCTCTCCAGAATTGCCGTCCAGCCCTTTCTTCCACCACTTGCGTACCATCTCTTCTTCCCCACTAATCGCGACACCCTAGATTTGAAGCTTCTTTCTCTCTCTCTCTCTCTCTCTCGCACGCGCGCGATAGTAGAAGGCATGAGGGATTTGTGAAGTGGTTTAAGATAGAGATGGGTCATCACTGGGAGAAGAATAGGGGCAGAGGAGGGGGACAGAAGGGGAGATGAGACGGCGAAGGAAGAGAGTAGACAGGGAGTCATAGCGGTGGAGGATGACTAGGAAAGCGATTACAGCGGAGGGACAGAGGGTCGAGGTGGTCAGAAATGGCAGTTATGAGGGAAGTCGAAAGGAGGTGGTAGTGGAGGACGCCGGTGAGGGGCTGGTTGTCAAAGGTGCTAGGGGATTAGACGAGAGCTATTAGAAGTGGGACCTTGGTAGGGGGAGGGCTATCGAGATGGGCGAACGGTAGGCGAGGGCTACTGGAGGTAGGAGAAGAGTAAAGGAGAGAGAGGACGGTAGGGGAGGGCTACCGGAGGTGGGAGAAGAGTAAAGGAGAGAGAGAGAGAGAGAGAGAGAGAAGGATAGTGGGTGGGGTGAGAAATTGTTGGTGCAATTTTTCGGGTTTACGGATCAATTGTTAATTTTACAAAAAAAGATAATATTGTGATATAAAATAAAATTGACGGGTGTAATGAGTTCTTTTTGTGGTGTAAGTAGAATCACCCTTAACTTTTTTAAAAAATCTTTTCTTTGCTCTATAAACAGGCTCGTGTGACACAATTTTTGTCTCTTTGGATGAAAAATGTAACGGTACCAATTTAGTTCAAAACTACATAAGCGGTATATGCCTATTTTTAAAAGATAGAGAAAGTAAAGTGCTGCCTGATCATATCACAAGGTAGTAAAGTAGATTTTTCCCAATGTAAAACGTAAACGTTGGCTTCAAGAAGGAGAACCAATACCCTTAAGCCCAAATTATTGCTATGTGAAACTAGTGGGGTGTATGATACACAATAGAGTATATTCTACAATACAAGAATGAGTATTATACCTTCCACAAACAAAGAATTTCAAGACTTCCTTTGAGCAAGCTCTTTCAAGACTTGAATTAAAGACATAAAGGTTACCCTCTCTATCTAAGGTAGGATTCACACTGAATATCTGTATGAGGTGTATAAGAAATGTATGAACACTCACTAAGTGCCTTTTTTCATCAAGAAACCCCAGATAGGGGTCATAGGTAAAAATAGCCATGCCTCCAACAACTATTTTTTAAATGTATCCTTTGCATGGCTGATCATATTGTGGTCGACGATCATAGCCACTGTGACAACCATACTGTGGTCAACCCCTTTTGGGCTCTCGAGATTTTCATTATAGTCAACCACGTCCATCAAAACTGTGGGATTGACTAAACCTACACTATAGACCTTCCTATGATAGATCAGAAACCCTGGTATGGTTGACCAAGCTGACAAACTTAGGCCTATATGTAGCATTTGGTCAATACTAACTTGATCATTCCTTGTCCAAAACCTTTTTCATGCCGATGAACCTCTTCCATAGCATTTCTTCCATGCCAATGAAATTCTCCTTTAGCACTTCAAGCTTCCAAGGGGATATAGGCCATGCAATATGCTCTCCTCACGCCATTAGGTTCTCCCTAAAATTATGCATACAAGTCATGAAATTGTTAACTTAATATCTAACACTAGTACTAACACCAACAAACATCAATTTTGGCATGGGGCTGATTAAACTTAACAACCATAAATTCAATCTTCCCTTACAATAATCTATAGATATGTGATTTCAAACTGCATAAAAATGTCCAACTAACTTCAACATCCAACAGCACTTCTTTTGAAATGAAGTTAAACCAAGATGGAATCACTCCAAACCATACTCCCCAACCCCGCCACCCCCCCTCCCCAAGCCTGCTCCCCAAACTAACAAAACATGCTATTTTTCCGAATCCAAATATTCATCATATGCACCAAAATTAATCAGGTTCATGCAACATTCAATTCGCAGAACCTAGCAGACCTAAAGTTAGAGTTTTAGCCAACGCCCACAAACACACAACCATTGTACAACATTTTTTCTTTAACCACGAATCTCTTATACCAAAGCAAATTGCTGACAATAGACGCTTGCCAAAATGAAATGCTGGCAATACAGAAGATCATGTACTATCTCATGAATTAATTATAGCAGTTAGTTTCAGATCCAAGTAGGTCCAATAAATATCAAACAAAACACAAAATTTACAAATTTAAAAATAAAAAAGAGGGGTAATGTGACAAACTGAGCTCGGAGATGAAGAGGAGGAACATGACGATGGAGGAGGCGAGGGTGATGACACCGCCGGAGAGGGTCCTGCTGTAGAAATCCTCATTGATCTTCGGATAGGTGTCCAAGCTCCGAATTTTGCTCATTACATTGTCCATTTCGTATTCAACCCTTGATTGCTCTTCAAATTATCTAACAATCTATCTTATGCAAATCAATCAATCTTAAACACCTCGTTGAATCGAAATTGATGTGAATTATGATTAACGAGGTGTTTAAGAGAGGTCGAGTCGAGACCAACCAAGGTCCTTCTCTTGTTCTGTTTCTCTCTCTTTTCTCTTCTTTATCGTACGAGATCAAAGTTAACAGAGAGACTCGCCGGCGAATAGAGCGCCACCCCCCTTATCTTCCGCTGTTCAATCTACGGATTGACTGACATGCCCCTGTTCTGTGTATTTCTTTTCAGTATTTATCTTTTGACCCTCGAATTTTTGGATATTCAGATATTTGTGTGAGAGAAAAACATACCAACCGAGTAACCTGTCATCCACCGTCTTTTCAAATTTAGGTGAATTGAAAAATATCAAATTATATTTATCAGCTTAGTTAGTGGATATAGATTAAATAGTTCGTAAAAATTAATGGATAGTGTGGAGATATATTTTCTGAGTACCAATACGTGGTAAGGTGACGTCGACGTGTCAGCCGAGGTGCCACGTGTCCTGATCGTGACGCCGAGGTGATCTCGGCAAGGCCGAGGTTATCTCCGAAGATATCGGAATCCGAGATAAGCGGATAAAGGACAAGAGTCCTAAAATAAGAGAGGGAACTCAACCTAGATATGGATAAGAGTCCTAGATTGGGACAAGACTTCGGTTTGGGTAAAGATAAGACTCTTAGAGAGTTTATCCTAATCTTACTGGGAGTCCAAGATTAGCAGTAATCCTGAGTCCGTAGAAGTTAGGCTTCTATTGGGACTAGGTTTATGTTGGCTATAAAAGAGAGGCACCCCCATGGGTCTAAGGTATGCTTTTGATACTCAAGCTTGTGAGTTTAGTACTTGATTATCTTTGAGAGATATACTGACTTGATCGTCGGAGCGCCTCCGAGTGGACGAACCACCGCGGGATTCTTATATTTCTATTGTAGGTCAGTCAGGTGCCATCTATTCTGCCGGTGCTCTCCAGCTGGTTACTAAGCGGGCAGTGTGGTCAGAAAATTACTCACACAATTTGGCGCCGTCTGTGGGAAAGAAAGAAGAATAGATGGCCAATGATGGACAGAAGGATCAGACTGGAAACAACGCTCCTGCTAGAAATGCGAGATCTATCAACATCGACGTTGAAGGAGATAACCGCAACACAGAAACTCATGGCCAGAGTCACGGAGTAAAAGACGCCGGCCAGGAAGGTGACGCACCAAAGACAACAGATCGAAGCGGATACTACAACGAAGATGACCTCCAGGTATGGAAGGATAAATACCTGTGGAGGAACGAAGACCCTTCTAGAAGGGATGCAAAGACAGGGGCCATGAGCGCTCCCAAGGAGATAACATTCAAGTATAGAAGAACTCATCCCGAGTGAGCAGATCCCGGATTCCAGATCCTAGATCCCGGATCCGAGAAGACATGATCTCAGCCTAGATAAGTAGGCCCGAGAAGACGAGAGCTCAACCTAAATGAGCAGATCCCGAATTCCAGATCCCGGATCCTAGAAGACATGATCTCGGCCTAGATGAGTAGGTCCGAGAAGAGAAGAGCTCAACCTGAGTGAACAGATCCAAGATTCCCGAAGTAATGCTTAACGCTTGTTGAAATTTGTAGCAATTTACAAGTTGAAGTTAAACCGAAGTAATGCTTAACGCTTGTTGAAATTTGTAGCAATTTACAAGTTGAAGTTAAACCGAAGTAATGCTTAACGCTTGTTGAAATTTGTAGCAATTTACAAGTTGAAGTTAAACCGAAGTAATGCTTAACGCTTGTTGAAATTTGTAGCAATTTACAAGTTGAAGTTAAACCGAAGTAATGCTTAACGCTTGTTGAAATTTGTAGCAATTTACAAGTTGAAGTTAAACCGAAGTAATGCTTAACGCTTGTTGAAATTTGTAGCAATTTACAAGTTGAAGTTAAACCGAAGTAATGATCTTCACTTGTTGAAATTTGTAGCAATTTACAAGTTAGTTAAACCGATGTGATGCTTAACGCTTGTTGAAATTTGTAGCAATTTACAAGTTAGTTAAACCGATGTGATGCTTAACGCTTGTTGAAATTTGTAGCAATTTACAAGTTGAAGTTAAGCCGAGATAATTGTTCACCTTCACTTGTTGAAATTTGTAGCAATTTACAAGTTGAAGTTAAACCGAAGTAATGCTTAACGCTTGTTGAAATTTGTAACAATTTACAAGTTGAAGTTAAGCCCGTATAATTGTTTATCTTCACTTATTGAAATTTGTAACAATTTACAAGTTGAAGTTAAACCGAAGTAATGCTTAACGCTTGTTGAAATTTGTAGCAATTTACAAGTTGAAGTTAGCCGAGATCATTGTTTACCTTCACTTGTTGAAATTTGTAGCAATTTACAAGTTGAAGTTAAGCCGGGATCATTATTTACCATCACTTGTTAAAATTTGTAGCAATTTACAAATTGAAGTTAAACCGAAGTAATGCTTAACGCTTGTTGAAATTTGTAACAATTTACAAGTTGAAGTTAAGCCGAGATCATTGTTTACCTTCACTTGTTGAAATTTGTAGCAATTTACAAGTTGAAGTTAAGCCGAGATCATTGTTTACCTTCACTTGTTGAAATTTGTAGCAATTTACAAGTTGAAGTTAAGTCGAGATCATTATTTACCTTCACTTGTTGAAATTTGTAGCAATTTACAAGTTGAAGTTAAGCCGACATACATTATTTAACACTTGTAGAAATTTGTAGCAATTTACAAGTCGATCATTGTTTAGCACTTGTTATAACTTAAGAAAAGTTTACGAAGTTGAGATTAAACTAGCATATGTTTATCCTTGTTGAAATTTGTAAGCAATTTACAAGACAAGTACTTGCCGAAGAAAAACGTCATGTGGCATAACCGAGGTGTGTCACCCCGAGAAGATTGCACAAAAAAAGAAAAGTACATAAGACATGCAAAATATTCTAAGTATAGAATCATGCAAGAGCAGTTAAAAGAAGATCAAGACAAAATTTATGGTGATTGACACGCCCTCGCCATACAATATCATCTTGGAAAGGCCATAGTTGTATGAAATGGGGGCAGTTCTCTCAACATTACACCAACTACCGCGGTTCCCAACAGAACATGGGATTGAAGAAGTCAGAGGGGATCAACTGCAGGCGGAGAATTGCTCCATGGCAGCAATGAAATCCACCTGCAGCATTCAAGAACCAGAGAAGGCAGAGATTAAAAATGAGGACATAGAGGTACTAGATGATGTCGGCAAGGAGCCAGCCGAGAAAAGTAAATAGGCACTGAGGAAAATCCTCGTCCAGGAGGGGGATGAAGAATGCTTCTTTCTTCTCAGCTTAGGCTTAGCCGAAGAAGAAGAAAGGGAATTGGAAGCTTTTTTGAGAACAAACATTGAGGTATTTGCTTGGACACCTTACGAAATGCCTGGTATTGACCCCGAGGTCACTTGCCACCAACCGAACGTCGACAGAGTAAGAGGACCGACGTTGATGCACGTTAAAGTAGTAGAGGAAAAAGTAGACAGACTTCTGGAGCCCAGGGCCATCCGAGAAGTCAATTACCCGACATGGCTATCAAATATAGTGGAAGAAGGAATGATAATCAAAGAGCAAGGAATGTTAACATCGGCCAACAACAGACATTTTTTCAAAAGCAAAAAAAAGCATTGGCAGTTAGCTGGAAGAGCTTCTCTACCATTATCTCGGCAACAATTTTAAGAAGAGACGTGGTTCTAAGACTATGCAGAAAAACAGAAACGAAAGCAAGATTCTGAAAAAAGACACAGAAAACAGAAACAAGAATGTAATTCATAATTAAGAATGGTGATGAAGTTATCAGGAAATCAAGACAAAAAGATTGCACAAGTGTGTCAAGCGAAGAACAGTGGTAGAAATCAACAGATGTGTGAACAGTGTGTATTCAAGAAGATGATTTGGAAACAACGGGTAACAAAGCAATGGTGATGAACAATGAAGCAGAGCTTATTGGAAAGCAACAAGAAATAAAACTAGGAGAAACAGTGGCTTACCAGAAAGAGGGAAGCCGAAATGAGAATTGCCGAAGTCTAACGACAATGATAGAATGACGTAAGCTTCACTGGAGGAGAGGAACGAAGACAGTTGCAGAAGCTTGAAAGCTTGGAACAATGACAGATTTAAGCAAAAGAGCTATAAAGAGAAAAAGCCAGAGGATTAAATGAAAAAAGAGAAAAATAGTCAAGAAGACGACAAAGTTCAAGAATAAAGCCAAGTGCACAGACACTAAGTAAGTATGTGAAGAACAAGAAAGTAATGAACCAGACATGATACTAGCAACAGAAAGCGAATATGACAAGAACAAGTGCCAGGCATTCAAACAATTTAAGACTTGAAGACAGATGAAAATAGAAAGCAACAGATGGCAAATAAACAGATTTAAAGTAAATCAAAAGAGTTATGAAAGATTGAGCTTAATAGCAAGTAAAGAGTTTATGAACCTACAAAGTGAAATGAACGCTGATATGAAAATCGTCGGAGTCAAATAGATGACTGGAAATTGGGAACTCACCAGAGAGTGTGAGTGAAGCAGTTGCAAAGCTCTTGGAGTTTACAAATTAATGGAACCCGAACCTCTACTAGGAGGTGCGATTTCAAGCAGCTTGGAAAGCATGAAACTTGATTCTTGACACCAGTGGATAGTAAAACTTCGAGATCGGCGAGTTTGATCTCGGACAGAGGGGCACGGATGAACGAACAGTGTAGGTTCCATCACCTCAGAATGCTGAGGTAATAGAGCCTAGGGGGCAGTTGTGGGGATATATTTTCTGAGTACCAACACGTGGCAAGGTGACGCCGACGTGTCAGCCGAGGTGCCACGTGTCCTGGTCATGACGCCGAGGTGATCTCAGCAAGGCCGAGGTTATCTCCGAAGATATCGAAATCCGAGATAAGTGGATAAGGGACAAGAGTCCTAGAATGAAAAGGGAACTCAACCTGGATGAGGGACAAGAGTCCTAGAATGAGAGAAGACTTCAGTTTGTATTAAGATAAGACTCTTAGAGAGTTTATGTTAATCTTACTAGGAGTCCAAGATTAGCAGTAATCCTGAGTCCATAGAAGTTAGGCTTCTATTGGGACTAGGTTTATGTTGGTTATAAAAGAGAGGCACCCCCATGGGTCTAAGGTATGACTATAAAAGAGAGGCACTCCCATGGGTCTAAGGTATGCTTTTTAGGCTCAAGCTTGTGAGTTGAATAATTGATTATCTTTGAG